CAGGGGATCTCGTAGTCGAGCAGTCTCGACTAGAGCTTTCTTACTTGTTACTATAAAAATAACTTATTCTGAATTTTTATACCCTGAACCCAAAATGAGTAATCAGGGAATAATATAATAATCAAATATGAATATTTAATTGAATTTAATTCCTTTTCGAATCCGTATATTACATCCGCAGATCGATTATTTTCTGGTCGCCTGAAGAAATGCTGCAGCTGCTGACCCTATATAGGGCAACTTTCACTTAAGCCCGACGCCGGGTAAGAGTCATTTCAGTCGTGGCTTAAATGGTCAATGCATTGGGAACATGCTGGAAGCTATCTAGTCTCGCTTTACTTAAATACATAAACATATATACCAAATGAATTCCGCTGCATACATGTAGATAACTTTCACTTCTGGGACAGACGATGATATACAGACAGACCAACACATACAGTACAATCGAGTTATAACGACTCCGCATATAGCGTTTCTACGGTTGGCGCGTCAAAAGTTCTGGTCCCCAAACAAACTTATATGGGCAAACTTATACGGTTATTGCGGGCCTTTGATCGTGGTTATAACTGGATTTTACAGTATAGGAAAATCGGCACTCATAGATTACCTTATTACGCTGCTCAAGAGCACACGCTTTATAGGGCTATGTATATGTTGATTTGTTAAATATCTTACATACATTAACATATATAATTATTAGAAATCATAGACAGCGGTTATTTTCGTTTTTTATACCCGGAAAAGTATATAACAGGCAGAAGGTAGCATAGTAGACCCCATAGTCGATATAGCCCTGTCCGTCTGTCCGTCTGTAAGTATGAATGCCAAGATTTCATGATCTTGTATGTTTTGCATATATTTTGATAACTCATCAGATAATTTTTTAGTCAAGATAAATCGAATAATTTATTTTGTTTTTTTTTTTTTCAGTCTAATTTGAACACTCTTAGACCTAGAAATGCCAGCTTTATTGTGTCTATACATATTTACATATTACAGACTTTTGATACAATGACTCCTTCGCCGCAAATTTGTAAAAAACGTATTTTAAGTACTTTAGAATGTAAGCACATTTTAACCATCTGATTACGCTCTGAAAGTTTCATTAAGATTGTATGTCCACAAAAGAAATTATTCATCAATAAATTCTCATACTATTGCCAAGTTAGCAGAGCGCGGGCTTATACGTGCGTGCGAATTCATGTGTATATACTTGTATATACAATGGGCTTATTATCAATCAGCTAGGCCACTTTCAAATAGGCTAGATCTAGCCAGAACTAGATGTGTTGTTTTTTGTGTAAGCAGAAAGTAAGCGAGTAATCATTGAAATACCACTCCGTGGAAGAGTCAGGAAGTTTTTAAATAGACTTGTCTCTATTTTCCAGGACATTGAATACCCATGGCCTATATTTTGTTGCATATCAAATGCCATTGATTTCTTGTATAAGTCGACTAGTAGATAGTCAGTTACACCTGATTTTCTCATCCTTATTTGCTGCCTCTTACCTGTACTCGGGCTTCGCTCAGTCCCAAGCGCTGACTCAGCTCCTCCCGCATAAAGGCATCTGGGTAATGGGTCTCTTCGAAAAGCCGCTCCAGTTCATTGAGCTGCTCAAGCGTAAAATTTGTGCGCGATCTTCGCTGTTTGCTGCTGAGTCCAGAGTGTTCCATGCGGGCAATATTTGTGTCTCCTATGTTTGACTGCGGCTCCGGCGATATAGATATAGACTTCTCCGAGCTGACCACCTTATGCAACGATAGCTCCGGGGAATTGCTATCATTGGAGCATTCATTGATATTAATATTGATTGTTGCAGATGTTTTCGTTTCTGTTGCTTTTGCAAGGAAAGTGAATGATAAGTATGTAGAGCTGGTTACTTATTTCTTAGTATAAATATTTAAAAAAATATATGTGTTGTATATGCTGAGTCAAAATGAACACTAACAGTACACATATATATTCACGTGTGTACATTAGAATGTGTATATTGTGTATTCTAATAGTATTTCAAGCTCCGTTTAACAGTTGTATAATGTTTCCTTTTTATTCCGATTCCATATACTTATGTTTTGTATAGTACTTTGTAGAACTTTTATACTATCACACACAATAATTATATTAATGCGATTTTTGTATACAGTTTAAGAATTTCGGTTAGCTCCTACATTATAAATTGCATATATAACCAGTTTTAGTATATCACTATTACATCACGAACTTTTCTGATCTCATACATATTAGATTTCTCTAACCTCTCCTCTTATCTCCTGCTCAATAGTCAAAGAGTCAATCAAAAAGGGAATATTCGATTTACCACATATTTGTTTTATTATGTGTATTTGAAATTTAAATACTGAATATATTGTCAATACTGGGCTATTGCAGAAATGTTTAATTATTCCATTCTTTACCAAATTAACAAAAAATATGGACATCGAATTGGAAATGTAGACCCAGATGAAAATTGTTTATATGATTACACTCTCCAGTTGGAGGCAATAAAACTATATGTATAAGCAATAGAACTTATAAAACTCGATGGCAGAATTCAGAAGGCATGGGAAACCAGGAATCTTAATATAGTCTATAGAAAATAAATACTATTGTAAAGACAGATCTGTTTTAAATAGGAAATACGTAGCATATTTCTTATAACCATTGGCAAAAATGAGTTTCACTATAAATTTTGATGTTTTTTTAACGCGGGAGAAGAACATTCCTCTATTGTTGTTTTTTTTTTTTTTCTATTTACGTTTTTTTTTTTTATATTTACTTGATGCGCTCTCGATGTCAGGAACTTGCATATTATTCATGCACTTGCTGCTGGTTTTGCTATCCGCATCTTGAAATTTTACGATCAGGTCACCATTCAGTTTCGAGCTATTCGCCGTGCTAGAGATACATGCAGTCGAATCATCGAAACGGGAAGATGTCTTTTCACACTTTTCTGAAATTATATGAAATTGCAATTAAACGGGACCTAAAAATTATATTCTTGGGATGTGGTTGATAGGTAAGACACATATTTATATATACCATATGAAAAATCCCCAACAGGCAAACTTGCCTTCGTTGTGGGAAAGGTATATAGATAAACATGTTTAAATATATACCATATTGTGGTCCAAGAAAGTTATGCTCCTTTATATTTTACAGTAGTTTAACAAAAATAAGTAGTTCTACAGTATATCATTTCTAAACTTTTCCCTTTTTAAATTCCACATGAAGTTGTCATATGTCAGCATTTATAGTTTAAGTGTTTAAGTAATTAGGCAAATAGACTTACCTTCTGATTGTGTATCCGATACCAATAGATCGGAAATCAACCAGTTCTTAGGCTTTGGGGCAGGATCAGTCTTACGGAGCTCTTCATTATCCGAAATAGGTGCAATCGATTGCTGTTGAAGCGTACGGATTTTGACCAGAGACAGGGGCTTGGGTAGACTTGTATCATCCTCCGAGCTATTCTCTTCGGCTACCGAAATATCGGTGATATCAATGTCCATGGACTCTTCACCGTTAGCACAGTTATCAACAGATACACGGCCCAGTCCGTTCGGGCTCACTACTATGGACTTTGTTGCCGTTGTTGTGGCGTCGGCCAGTTTATGGATGCGCGCACTTGTCATCGAGTTGAACAAATGGTTGACTCGATTATTAGTTAAATTGAACTCAAATGATTTATTTACAAACTGCGCTAATTGCTCCATGCTGGCTCACTATAATTACAAATTATGTTTTTTATTCAATATTGAAATCTTCTTCACAGCACTTTCACTCCGAAGCATCATAGTTGCTCTTACAAAATAAAACGCTCGACTACTTCGCAGGAAACGCCAATGGCATTACAGGTCCCCATACAGTTCCATTCCAATTCAAATAAAAAAACTTATGTAGAGCTAAAATCGTTCTCTCTACGTTGATTTTATTTGATTTTTTTTCGCAGTTACTCTTAACGGCTGCGCATGGCATTCAGCTTCTGCTTCTTCCACCTTTCGTCCCCACTGGGAGAGAGCAAAGCACACACACAAACACAGAAGCACACACACTCACACATACATAGAGATGCCTCAGATCAACAAGCATTTCAGATTTGGCACATATTTAAATAATTAGTTAATTGTAGTTTAATTAACAGATTTGAATTGTTTTATGCTAATTACGCAGAAATTTAGTACAAATATTCATAAATATATTTATTAATTAATATATGTATAGTAATTATAGTAGTTAGGCAGTGGAAATTTAATCAAATAACTATCAGTTTTATAATTCTAATTTATTTATTTTTTTAAATATTTATATTAAATGTAATTTCATATGTACATATATTTTTATTTCCCAGTTAAGTGACGAAGTTTCTCCCCTCAATGCTCATTGAGTAATTCTGCTCGCTCACTTTTGGCCTCGCTCTTTATCGAGCATTCGGAACAACCCCTAAAGAGCCGTAGAGCCGTGGAGTGGAAGGTGTTGCTCCCTGTCCGACACGTATATGTATATTCAATTTATTCTCATTGGTCTTTACGTGTTGGCTGTTGTTGTTGTTGCAAAGTGGTTGTAGGCTGCTTGGCTCAACCCAACTTTACTGTTATTGGTTATAGCCGCTTTATCCTGTATACACATTAACTGTGTATAAAACACCTAATAATTTTCTTTGCAATCGCCTATGTGGGTGGAGTTTCACGTTGTTCTCACTTTATCCCTGGATTAAATTGATGAAAATATCTCGCAAGCATTCGCCAAACTATGTAGCACTTAGGTTGGTAATTGAATTTTAACTAAAAGTATATAATTGCTTGACTTTCATATATAATGTGCGGATTACAAGTGCTTAAAGATTTGTATTTTACCTTTGGCATGTGGAAACCTAACGTCCAGACCACCGCCGACTTTACTGGTTCAAAGTGGTTTAAAGACTTATTAAAGTAATTGATTGTTTAAGAAATAGTTTTGATTTATTATGATTTATCATATTCTAGTCAGTGGAATCTATTTTATATTCGTCTTAAGAGAAAAATTAATATTTTCGTGTTTGTCATAAAGTTATTAGTCTTTTAAGTCTTGACATACGCTATAATATGGATAATAAATCTTTATTTGTGTCGAAGAAGTTAATACAATGCAAAGAGTTCCTTGAAAAATTTACTTATTGGCTATGAAAGCTTTTAGACGACAATGCCGTCTCGATGCTGCTGCTCAAAGAGTTAATAGTGTTAGATTACGTTCAAAAATTGAAGACACTTAGAAATCTTATAACAGAATCCATTAAACTTCGCAACAATTTATTTTGAGATTCTCGGAAAAACATTTACATGTATTACTTGCCGATGAGTAATTGCTTACGGGAACATTAAAAATATGTATTTAAATAGAATAACTAAGTATTTTCAATACAACGATGAATGTATAGATTTGTACCATTTAAAGCCCGCATTTATGCATTTCAATTTATTTATTAAATTTAATAAATACATTATGAGATTGAATAAATTTTTTTATATAACACTTGAATTCTGCATTTATAGGTTTTACAGCTTCAAATCCAGGCATCCAGCGTTACATCTCCAATTATGTAAATGAAACAAAATTTGTTTCTGTTTTTAGATCAATTTACTTCAAATATGAAGTTGTTTGGCAACACACTTTTCTGGATCTATTTTATTGTATACTTTTTGACATAACAGACTTATAGCTAGCACACAATCATATACATATATATATCAACTAAATGTAAAAGCAACATAAAATTATGACTTGAGATTAAAGGTTCTATATATAGAGATATATAATAGTTAGCTTTATGCATGCGCAACTATTGATCTTTATCTTTACAGATTCTGGATGTCATTTCCTGCAATGGCTCTAATTCCTTCGCAGATATCAGTTCGAATTCTTGGACAAAGTAATAAAAATGCTTATAGCAAGCATTCACGTGTGCTTCCTGCAATTGAAAATATATAAGTATAATTAAAAGAAACAATTAATTTTAATATATATTAAATTATAATTATTGGCTTTGATCAGTGGCTTACTTACCGCACCGATGGTCACAATTCTATCAAAATGATGGATGTAAACATGTACGAAAACCCGGAACAATCGCGTTAAAATTTTTCGACTTAGTGAGCTAAATGATTTAGGAAAAGGAACATCTGAAATTAAACAAAAAACATTAATTATACATAATTATATAGCTATATTCATGACTAAGCATACCTGTAGAGACGGGAAATATTGCTTCATTGTTAATTTGAGTCTCTATCCAATCCATCAGCAACTCAATATATTTTTGTGCAGGCAGAGCCGTGGGCTTCTTGTATCTATAATTGAATATTGCAAATTGAATTAATTACTTTACAGGAATATTGGTTTTTTACTTACACATCTCCGTCCACCCACAAGTATTCATATTTCGAGCCACCAGACATTGTTGGACAGGTGGTTTCATTGCAAAATTCAGACACAGTGCCATAAATGAGATTGATGCGATTGAAAAAGTCAACAACTGTATAAAAAGAATAGTACATCATTTATATTACTAATTATACCATATATAGATGGAACAATGCAACAAATTCAACCGCACACACCCATACAATACAGTTACAGGGGAGAGAAAATGTTCGAGTATCTCGATAGTTTTTTATAAATGAAAAAATAAAATAAATAAACAATACGAGCGTGACAAACGGAAACATCGCAACTCTTATTAGTCGACACAATGTCAGCCAGGTACCCATAATTGATAACTCAAGGGTGTGAAGCACACGAGCTATACTATATTGGGTGGCAGGCGCCGCTGTGTTGTTCTGGAACTCTCATCAGCATATAAATATACGGTATTGTACATATCCGAATTTACGCACCGTGCACAGCTAACCAGTCATTCATATTCTCGCCTTCCGGCAATCGCACCACTTGACGCAAATTGATTCCAGAGTTCAAACTAGCCTGGGCCTGTTTATGAAGTGAATAGCGGATGGTACCGGCCGTAAATCTTTTATTTGGCCTAAAAGTCTGAAAGCCGAACAAACATTTCCATATTAATCATAGAAGCATATAGTTTTCTTGTAAAGATTATGAATATAACATACCTTTCCCTTTTGGAAAAAGTCTAAGAACCCGTTAAGGGCCATTTTTTTAGTCTTTTATTTATTTTTGTATATTTATATAGACCTTAAGAACACTATCACAAGAAAACATCTGTTTAAGCAATGTGGCCAGCTTTATAATGTAAAAATACCAAAAGACACTTTCTCGTCTGTTAATTAACAGTAGTGAAATATTTATTTATCAACAATTAAAAAATTATATTTTGCCATTTGGGAAGCAAATAATAAATAAGAAATAAAGACTCATTATGGAAAAATAAATTTTAGCCGAAATGAAATGAATGAATTATCAGCTAACGAACATTAACGTTTACAGTAGCTTGCATATTCATCGGTATTTACGTATTTTATGATTCATGTTCTTTTTAGTAATATTACTTATTATTTGATCTAATAAATATAAAGTAACTAATTTTATTCACAGAAAATACACCCAATTTGATATATGTACATTTTTAATTAAATACAACTATCGATATATGCTATCGAAAATTTATACTAGCATTAAGGTCGCCATGTTGTTTAGTAATTTGTGCGTCTCTGTTTTGTTTGTGTATTAAAACGATTGAAAGATTAAAACGAAAATAAAAAATGTTCTACGAACACATAATATTGGCCAAAAAAGGGCCGCTAGCCAGAATATGGCTAGCAGCCCATTGGGATAAGAAAATAACAAAAGCGCACGTCTTCGAAACAAACATAGAGAAATCAGTGGAGGGTATTTTGCAGCCAAAAGTAAAATTGGCGCTACGTACGTCAGGCCACTTACTGCTTGGCGTTGTGCGAATCTACTCAAGGAAGGCAAAGTATCTATTGGCGGATTGCAATGAGGCGTTTGTTAAAATCAAAATGGCATTCAGGCCAGGAATGGTGGACTTACCTGAGGGCCATAGAGAAGCTAATGTTAATGCAATTACGCTCCCCGAAGTTTTTCACGATTTTGACACAGCCCTGCCCGAACTCAATGATATTGACATTGAGGCCCAGTTTTCTGTCAACCAGTCCCGAGCAGATGAGATAACAATGCGAGAGGATTACGGTAGCTTGTCGCTTTCCCTGCAGGACGACGGCTTTGGAGACATTGGATTCGAGGCGGACACGCCCGAGATGATGCGTGGACCCTTGTCAGGGAATATAAATGATCAGCTCTTTGATGATGATGTGCTCACAAATGTCGTTGAGCCTAATGATCCTAACATCACATTAACACAGTCCGAAATGCCGAATGATCGACTGGACGGTGATGGATTTGGTGATTCCTTTGGACAGCCAGCGTTATTTGAGGACGATCTATTTGGGGAGCCGCCGCAAACAGTTGGCATTAATACGGAAATTAATGAGCCCAACAATCCGCCTGATTATTCGGATGATGATGGCATCGACAACTTCAACAACCCTCCGTCTCCGGCGTCGTCCTGTGCCGATTCGGTCCACGATGACAAGGAAGACAATTTTCAGGCAAAGGATCACAGTTTTAATGAAGACGTCAACGCAGCTGGCGGGGACGCGGCTCTAAATGATCTGACCCTGGTACAAAACGACGATGAGGGATTCGCTCTGGCACCCATTGATGCAACCACTTACAAAGGCGCTACGAAAGCCAAGCGCAAGCGAAAGCTTATCATTGACGAAATTAAGAATATATCGGGAGAGGAAATGAAGGCCCAACTGGCGGACACCTCCGATATACTGACGACTCTTGATCTGGCCCCGCCTACAAAGAGATTGATGTATTGGAAGGAAACGGGTGGAGTGGAGAAGCTATTTGCTTTGCCTTCTCGGACAATACCCGCCAGAGTTCTACTTAACAACTATAACCGGCAATTAGTTTCACATTCGACGCCCCTGGAGGACTTCTCTGTGATTGCCCCCATGGACGTTTTGGGCTTGGAGATGTACGCACAGGAAGGCGAAAGCTCTGTCATAATTGTAAACAAGAAAGGACGCAAGCGGAAGAACGATACGTCCGCAAGTTTGGCTGCTGACCAAAGTGCAGATAATAACACACTCACTCAGAGTCTAGCGGCTCCCGAGATGATTCGAGAACAGGAGAAATCGCTGGGCGTGTCGGCCGTATCACTTGAAATTACCACGAAAGAGCAGGAGAGCCTTGGACCTCAGAATGATGCAACTATCTTTGAGAATATGCGTAGTCCTGCCCTGCTCTCGTTCAACGACATGGAGAACTTCTCGAATCTTAACGAGCTGCCACTGACGCCGCGCGATGGCCACCAGGATATGGGCGATGATTTCCATCACGGCGACCTGACACCGGCTGGACTGGAGCATGGACAGATGACGCCACATCATGGAGGAATGGGAGACATTGATTGTATGCCAAACCTGCCGCCAGACCAAGTCAGCTCGATATTCAACGAGACCGAAGGAAGGAACATGCCCGCCGGCAACAACTTCAATAAGTCGTGCGATATTTCCACAGACTGGAATGACTACGACTTTCCGCCTTCGGCTGGTCTGCCGCACACCACAGCCGAGGAGCAAATGGAGAATGAAACGGATGAGCAGTTCGAGGAGCGTGTGCTTAACAAGCGAGCTGCGCAACTCTTCCTCGATGTCAGAGTTCACTTCAACAACCACGACCACCTGACCCTCTCGCAGCTGACGGTGCGAAACACAAGGAAACAGGCGGCTCAGAAGTTCTACTCGTTGCTCGTATTGAAAAAGTTCAAGGCCCTGCATATAACACAATCGGCGCCGTATGCCGACATAACAGTAACGCGCGGTCCTCTGTTCGATAATCCGAAATTGTAAAGATTAGAAGGGCCTGTTTGCATGATCTTTGGGCAGTAAGAATCCAAACCAAGAATTGTGAGGATAACCCGTTATGATTATATAAACGATTTTAAATTAAGTTAAAAGTAATTATTTTTTTAAACGCAATTAATTGTAAAGTTAAAAAAGTATTGCTGCATTGATTACATGATTTACAACCAGTTCATTTAAATTATTTATAAATAATTATAAACTTGTAGGAATTTTGAAATGAGTGTTAAACATTGTGTAAACCCTATTTAAATACTTCCGTCGCCTATATAGATTTTCGTTTAGACAATCTAGGCTTTCAGCTGCTGAACCTCCAAAAACTGTAAGTCTTAGCAAAAATATATTCGCATCAGAAACTAATCTTTAATTTCTTAAATAGGTTGGATCTTATTCAGGGAACTTCAAGTTAAAAAACTGTTAATGAGAGACAAGCAAGGAAAGACTCCCATTACCGCATTGTAAAGAGCATTTGATATAAGAGATTTCATAGTATATGTTGTTCCATTGAATCCAGTAGGCCAAGCGAGCAGATTTGAAATAGTTTGTAATTTTATAACATATTTATTCACATCTCTACAGACATGTAACAATTGAACATAGATTATTGCAAGTTATGTACAATAAATATATATATATATATAGCTGAAGACATGATTTTATTCGACGTTATCATATATGTCTTCCATACCAGGAACATCTCGCAGCTTCTTTACAAATACGTAGTATGCCTTCTTTTCGTCCTCGTCCAGCTGTACAAGACTCTAAAATAACACTGAATTAGTATCGGTATTAATTAGAAGACACTATATATTACATTTGGAGTAAATACATGCTCGCTGTTCTCGATCGAGTACCCATTTTGCTCCAAAGTTTTGCTGAGGCCCGTCAAATAAGTCGGACTGCAAATGAACTAATCATATAAAATAAATTAGTAATGGTGTCAAGTCTAAAGTTAACTAGAATCTACATATCCCATTCTGGATTTGTATCTGCATTGATTACTAACATTCACTGCAGCCGTGGTAGCATCAACAATTTCCACATCTTCAGCTCCTAGTTGAATTGCATCTTCCGTGACCTTCTCCTCTAAGCTAGTTTCAGGGTTGGTCAACGGTGAAGCATAACGGGCTTCAATAAGTCCAAAATCCTCGAACATATGGCTCACATCTACAAATTCAGCACTGCAATGGGTTTTTAACTTAGGTGTGGTTTTAAATTTACTTGAATCTTTTCTGTAGTTTAATTAATGAACTTACCCAGATTTTTTTATCATTGCCGTCACATCCATTTTGATACCAGGCAGATTATCGCTGTATATGCTGCAAATCATATAGACTTTTCTTCTATATCTTATGTCGAAGCGATGTTTCTTTAGTTGTGCTTTGTTATGCTGGCATTTCTTAATTGTATTTTGTATTGTTCCCATGGGCATATTTCTCTTCAGTGCATTGTCAATTTCGGATCGTAAAAGCGAATTCACTGCCGGATCAGCCGATTTGCCTTCCTGTACGGCCAGCCGGAGCTGTCTAGCAATCTTCTCAAAAAGAGCTGCTCGTAATCCATCTTTCTGCGCCTTAATATGTTTTATGTTGGCCCATTTTGAATGTCCAGCCATGCAACGTACGGGCTGTACTTCATTGAAACTTAATTTAATATTTTGAAATCTAATTCGGCTAAAATTTCGTAACATTTTTGTTGTTATGGAGTATTGTATGTTAAGCAGCAGAAATACACGCGACTCGCTGCTGTCGAATCGGAATATATCGATATCAGAAATATTAACAGAACTTATTAGACAACAATCGATATGATTTAATAAACACCAAGTGTTCACCACTGTGCAAAGACTAAGTATTCTAAAAGCGGCAATTGCTTACATTATCTTACGTAGTTAGAGAAAGTGTAGAGGAATTGGTTTTTTTCGGCCAGCTGTTTAGTTTCAAACGTCGATTTGATTTTAATTATCAGGTACGCGCTTATGTATATACACATATATTTTTGAAAATATATATGTATAAGACATCACATTTTTGTGCCGAAATGAGAATTTAAATATGCTGAAATAGCAGCAAGCTTTTGTCTGTATGCATTTGACAATAAGATTTGAACTTGGATTCAATGATCTGTTGAAATTCAGCAGGATGGCTTTGAGTGGGTTTGCTGAATTTTGTATTTCAGATTTCTTGTTATAAATTATGAATTTTTTGAAGACGACAAAGACTCAAGGGTAATTTCTTTTGAAATGTTGGTTGTACTGACGACTATAGATTTTTTCATCATTCTAAACAGGAATCTCTTAAGTGTGTTAAGTGCAATTTGACATATGTATGTACATATGTACATATACATATACAGTTGCGAAAGTGCATGCGTTCTTACGAACGAACATTACCAAAACCAATATACTTTATTGTTTATAAAACAAGATAATTAACAATACCTCCTTGAGCCTACAACTTACAACCCGCAATTTATACAAATCCATTTATATTAAATTCTCCCGCGATATCGGAGTCTTTTGTACTGCAAATTCTTATTGGACAAGAATGTTAATAGACATCAAATATTTCTGTTATTAGTTATAAATATTTGTCCTTTAGCTTAACTCTCATATGTGTACTTATGTACGATTAACTTGTCATCTTGATATTTACAGACATGGCTGGCTACGAGTGAAAAGTCAAAGTCTGTCAATAGTCTTAATATTTCAACACACTTTTACTACAGAAATAATTACTAATTGAACTTTGAGAAAATCAGCTGCTGGTAATATGACGGCATTACGGGAATTCGCATTCGATGATCTGTTCAAGTTCAACAGGATTCTGTTTGATCCCCTGACCGAAGTCTATACGATCGCGTTCTATGCTTCGCGAGTATTTGAGTTTCCGATGCTGACTGAAGTCGCCGTTGCTCCCAATGGGCAGGTAACGGGATTTATCATGGGCAGCCGCGTTCGTAATAAGCAATGGGGCAGAAACGGCAAGGACTCAGACAAGATGGGCAGCCATGGCCACGTCAATGCCCTGTCCATTGACAACGACTACCGACGTCTGGGAGTGGGCACGCTGCTGATGGAAAGTTTCAGGGTCAAGCTGGAGGTCAAACGGGAGTGGTACATTGATCTATTTGTGCGCTGCAAGAACCAGAAGGCCATCAAGCTCTACGAACTGCTGGGCTATACAAAGTACTCCTTACTTCGCAAATACTACGACGATGACGATGGGTACGAGATGCGCCTACCGCTCTCCCAGGACGTGGACGGCATTTGCCTCAAAGGGCGCAAGAAAGTTATAGATGGATTTCACAGTGCCGGACGCGAACTGGTGAAGGTGCTGAGAACGCTGTTCGTCAGGCTTCGGGATGCCATATTGAATATGCTTTGAGAATGTTGTTAAACCATGTCAAATCATAAATAGTCAGTAAACAAGACGCTCTTGCCATTATCAAAATCTATTTGTTAAACATATTGTTAACCGTATTCGGATATCATCATGAGTTGCCTGCGGGAGATGCACCTCGATGATCTGTTTAAATTCAACACGTTAGTCTTCGATCCATTCACCGAGGTGTATCGCCTCAGCTTCTTCATTCGCCACCTAGCCCAGTGGCCCGAACTGGCGCTGGCCGCCCTCACCCCCCAGGGCCAACTTGCCGGCTTCATTTTTGGCAAGTGCCAACCCGCCACGGATGCCACTAACCTGCATGGCCACGTTTGCGCGCTGACCGTCGAGTCGCGCTCTCGCCGCCTGGGCGTCGCCTCGCTGCTCATGAACCACTTTGCGCACATGCTGGACCTGAAGAATGCCTGGTATGTGGATCTCTATCTGCGCTGCAGCAACCTGGCCGCCTACCAGCTCTACTGCGCCCTCGGCTACTGTCTTCGCCGCGTCCTGCTAGAGTACTACCCGGGCGATCCCGGTGAGAATGCCTACGACATGCGGAAGCCGCTGGCCATAGACGTCCTCGGCCACTCCCTGCTGGTCGCCAGTAAGCAGTCGGTGCACCTGCCCAGCGACGAGGAAAGCGACGACGAGTACAACTAGGGCGTCTTATTCCCCCTTTTTGTATCTGTCTATTTTTTTCTGCTTCTTGTATTTATATTTTCTTTTCGGCATTTCATTTCATATCTCCCGACGTTTCAGCTAATTAAGTAAAATATTCAATTGCGCTATAATTAAGTTTCCGCTGACGCACAAGAACTAAACTACAAATTTAAGATGTATAAAAAAAGTGTATATATACATATATAACATATATACTTATGCGGTTTTTATGCCAAACAAATTTAATGCAAATACAGAAATAAAATAAGAAATCATTGGAACACTTGCGACGCGTCCGTTTCAATGGCCAAGGCCCATGTTACGCTTTTTTATTGGCCACATTTTGCTTTTGTTGTTTTTTTATTTTTTTTTGGCTTGCAAAACTTATTGTACTTGTGCTTTTTATTTTATTTTATTTTATTTTTATTTTTTTAAATATATATTCGACGCACAGCCCACAATTTGCATGTCCAAAACACGCGCAACTTTAGTTTTCTCTCGTTTGAGCGATTTGTCTAAACATTTCGCTGATGCTGTTGTTGTTGTTGTTGAATTTGTTATCGACGAGTGCATTGAACTTATGTGATTTTTCCTGGGGCTAATTGATTTTTCCTAAATGTGTTTTTATTTGATAAATTCTGGGTAAACAAAATTTCTGTTTATTTTATCTAATTCGAGTGCAGCTTTTCATTAGGCTCAAAAAGCAAACAGCATTATTGTGTACAATTTATCAATAGATAAGCTTTTACAATAATATATAATTAAAGAATTAAGTCATATATTTTATAAAGAAATATCTCAGATTTGACTATTTTCTTGATTGATTTTAGCTATAGAATTACCTGATTAATCTTTGATTAGCTAGTATATTAGCTTATTTTGCATTTATTTCTTTCTAGGAAGTATTATGAAATAATTCAGCTATGTTCTACAAAAAAAATATTGGGCGAACACTTTTTATTAATTCTTACATTTATGTGAAGCAAATTGCAAACCAATTTTGTTTACCTTTAAAAAGTTTTAATAAATAAATAAAATTATTGATCAGTAAGTATAAAATTTAATAAATACATATGTGTGAAATATAAATATTTTATAAATAATCTATAATTTGCAATTAAAAGAAAAATAGTACATAAATAATTCATATTTTTATTGGGTTTATTTAAACTTCTTGCTTACAAATTGGCTAGAATACAAAATATAAATAAATAAACATACATTTATTACGATTCACGCTTCTTGAGATTTGTAAAATAGAGAAATTATTCGTTTTATATTTATAATCCTTTTGGAAAATCTCTGAAATTTACAAAAACAGCCAATGGGATAGGCAGATGGACATAAACATAGAGGGCCACTCTGAGGCTGACGCTCCCACTCATTCACTCAAGGGCAGATTATAACTAGTTGAGTATACACATATTCTGACAAATAGATATTCTCTGACAGTAGACACTTTAATAATTGTTGCTAAATTATCCATTTGTATATAAGCATATAATTTTATTGAATCCAAGTATATTTATTTGCGCTGGAATGAAAGACAGCGGTCCTAATCAGTGCTCTAGGTCTCTGGCACGCCTCCTTATGCTACACAAATGTCTATAAAACCGGTTTACTCTATATTCCATTAAAAATAGTATTTATATATGACTAATGGCAATGGGCATTTTATAATTATTAAACTCAACTATTTGTCATGTCGTTTGTCTTGTTGTTGTTGTTGTTGTCTCTCAATATTTGGACAACCGCGCCCATTTTATAGACAATCTGTCGGGTCACTTGAAAGCCTCAAGTGTTTCAAATACACAAATTGTTTTACGCTCATCTAATGAGGTTAATGTTCGAAGCTCGTTGACTCAGACCCGATCGCTGTGCGCTGCTCAGCAATCTATTTATACGATTTAATGGCGCATTTTGTACAAAAATAAAATACAAGCCGATTTGAATAAGCATCTGCTATATACAGATATATATATATATATATATATATATATATATAAATTCATATGCCGATTCGATCTATAATCGAGGCATAGCCATAATTAATCGCCGGCCTTAAGAAAAAGTGCGCAATATGAAAAGGCAATTAGCCTGTGCGGCAGGTGGTCTATCGGCTAACTGCAGATCATCCAAACTATATCTTTATATAGAAATACTATATAAATATTAGATATATCTATTAGCAGATTTGTAGACACTCTGTACGAAGATGAATGAATCGCTAATGCCGCAAACGTTGCATATGCACGATGTTGGCTGTTTGTCTGGCTGGGCTTATGTTTGCCTCGACTATACAGTATATAGTATATGTATGTATATGGCTGATGCTTAAACGTCTTTTAGTTTTCTGTTAATTTATGTGTGATTTATTATGATATATCCCAGCATGTGGCCGCCGCCTAGGCGAAAGCCCTGACTGACCCAACCGTTTGGTATCATTCGCATCGCATTTGCTACCCGATTGTCAGCAATGTGTGCATGATATTTGGCGGCTGTTGGTCTAAGGTTTTTCCCTTAAACATATATACTTGAGAATATGTATATATAAGTCTATATACTTGGATGCTCAAACAGGCACGAGCTGCATGCGCCTATTTGTTTACATGTTTTCTTTTTGGCTTCTCGCTTTTTTGGCACCCGATCAATTTGACAAAAAACTAAAACATATTGTCTATGTACAGCATGAGTGAGTGAATACCCGCCCAGTGGACACAGTCGCGGTCATCTTTATAAATACAATCCGATTTCATACTGATTTCATATCAAATGGGAGCGAACTTTGCTTCAGTTTGATCTATCTAGATGCTACAGCACAGTGCTGGGGCTTCTGGCAGACATTTGTGGTTCTCTTTATGCTGCACATAAATAAATAAATAAATAAATAAAATGAAAAGTACAAGCAATCGCGCAATGATCGCCCACTGGTTGCCGCTTGCTCAATTTTTCTTTTAAATAAACTCAAAATTTCATAGAATTTTCCAAGCAGACGCACTTTACACACACATATACATACGCACACATGCACACATATACTCGCAGCTGTCCGCGAATGGCCGAAACATACACACACACACAGATACATCTATACGTTTATACATGTGTATGAATGTGGAGGAAAAGCATTTCGAAATGTGATTTTTTCGGCTTTTCGGCCAAGAAAATTTCGTGTGCGAATTCAGTGCGACTTGGGCTGCTAACTTGAACGCGTTGCAAACGAGAAAAACATTCGAAATAGAAGTCTTTAACTAAAAACTAACATACATATATATATGTATATATATATTATATATATACCTATATCCTCATCCATCTATCTAGCTAGCTGTCTATATAGCCAAGTGCGGTATATATAGATCTATTTGCTGAGTCTGCAGCACGGGCAAAAGTGAGCAATGCGTCGTTCGTGCCGCGTTTTATTAATAGAAAATTACAAAATTCTTGCGCGAAAATTGTGAAAAAAGGGTTTTTCATGACTAGATTCTGCTAAAGAAAAAGCTCTAAAGACCAGAGCATTGAAACTTTTTTTTCTCTCTGTGTATATTCAAACCTAATATGCTATAAAAACTATATGCTGGGCATGAATGTGCGTGTGTATATGTGGTTGCGTGTGTGTGTGCGTGTGAATGTGTGTGAATGTGAGCTAGTGCTTTTCAATTTAATGTTACATAAGAAATCGTGATCTTTGTGCAAAAAAATAAACCCAAAAATTATTGAAATTCAATAGAAATATAATCAAAAAAAAAAAAAAATTAAAACATTTTTCATAAATTTTCAGTGTTTTTATGTGCATAGATTGCATTTCGTTTGGAAAATCGTGCAATTAGGCAACAACAACGTCCGCGATAACGATTTACTGCTGTCTCTGTTTGAAGTGAACACTAAAATTTTAATTTAGCAATACAAAAACAAGAAACAGGAATTAAAAACAGCAGTATGAGCTCTGGGTAAGCTATAAACAATTACAAAAATTAAATATTTATATATTTTTTAAATTTAATACGGTTTGGTTTTGAATATTAAACCTTACAGGCTTTTGGTTGATCATAAATATAATTACTAAAATCCATTTTATTTTATGAAATAACAATGTGATAATATTACATATTTATATATGAATCTTCAAGGGATAACGGTTTTATTTGGTGATTTATATTGAGAAATTATAAGCGAAAGACTTTTTTTTAGGAAACTTCAATCCTTTTGTATATACAGAATCAAATCTATAGTCCAAAACTGAGAGAAATAATATTGATATTATTTTGTTCGTGAATTACTTTTAACAGTAATGCGAATAAACGTTATAAACAAGAAAAGACAAGAAAAAGTTAAAATTTTTCCCTTTTTACTTGATTAGCTATACAATTAGAAAATTATACAAAAGAATCATTTTTGTGAAGAAACGTACATATATAGGGTGTAGAAAACAAAGTGAATTTTATGTATTTTTTATTGTTCTTTTTTTTTCATTTATAAATGTTATACAAAAACCGAAGGTCTTTAAATATAATATAATCCCTTCATTAATATCGAACTTTTCAATTGAAATCAATTTTACATTTTCTGTTTATTAAATAAGTTCAAACTTGTTTTATTTTTTCCCTTTTTGTGTTAATAGAAGGAAACATTTAAAACACATTTCATATTTTATTTATATTTAGCTAGTTTGAAAATCTCTAAATGTTTCGAAACTTCTTGTTAGTATAGCCGCCTTGTCCAAGGCGCTCAAGTTATACAGATGAGAGCAGCTGCTGCGGCTGCCTTTGCCGGCAAATTAAAAAATAAGTAGTAAACTTGTGTTTTTTTCTTGTATTTTGCTGAAATATATATAAAGAAAAACATATGCACGCTCATAAATAAATCCATAGTATCTGTGTGGATTTATCTGAAATATACACGAATGGGCTACACAATTAAGGTTCATGTGAATTCTGAAGGCCATCAATGGTCCACGCCCACGCTAACGCCCACACCCACGCCCATGGCTGAGGGGGCGGCGATATTGTCGTCTGTGTCTTGCTCTCTCTCAGCTCTTGTTTTGGCAGCCCTCGGGACCGCACGCGCTTGCTGGCAGGCGACATTTTCACTTCAAGATTTTCTCGCTCACGCGAATTAATTAATTAATTTTCTTATTTTGTTGGTCGATCTCGAATGCTCTGCGCACTCTTAAATTTAGCACACGTGTTGAAAATTTAGCTGTCAGCAGGAGCGGAAGTTTCGTGCCACGCACACGAAAAATGCTCAAACGCTAAGCAAGCAAATAAAGCGAAAGGAAAACTTTCGCGATAGCCAAGAATTTGGCATCAAGATGCATTTATTTTCATTAAATTTTTTAGAGATTTCTGTGAAAGAATTGATTTATTTTTTGCATTTCTCTGTTGATGTTGATGTGGCGCACATAAATTCTCAACTTGACGGTCGTCAAGAAATGGCTATGCGAAAAAGCACAACAACTACAATAATGTATAGGTATAATGTATATTCAAAAATATATTATGAAAATTGGGTCAAACTCATGTACTAGAAAAACACTTTTTGCGAAAAAATGAACAAGGAAAATGTCGGAAAAAATTCGAAACAAAAATGCAATGAACATAAACAAGTAAGAAAACTCGAGTCGAAAGTGCTTAACTACGAGATCCCATCAACCCTACGTAGAGATGATATTTGAATTACCCTATACAGATGCACACAGACACTTACACCCGTCTAGTATGAAAGATTATATCTATATATCTATCAAATAAATATTAAATAAACTGCGTTACATTCTAAATTTCAAGTGTTTAATAAAAATATAGATAAACAATTATTGCTCAAACCCAATAAGCTTCATTTAATTCGTGAGCGAGCATAAATTATTACTTTAATATGTAGAATTTCTCTTGGCATTATTATGAATATTTACTTCCAATTTATTCCAATTTGTTGCCATAATTATAATTTATACGCACACTCACACACACACAGTTGAATTTTAGTCGAACTTTCATTAATCAAAATCATCTTCTTAACAATTATAATGGTTAGCAAAAGATTTGCATAAACTTTAATCTCTCCCTCGTCTTAACCATGACTTTCATATGTGAACTTGTAAACGCGGTAAAAACCAAAAAAGAGAAAAACAAAAAACAAAAGCAAAATGAGAAACGCGTAAAAATTCATTAATTTTCGTGCGAACTTGAACTAAGTCGATAAACACTTGATTCGCGTATGTTTTTAATGCTTTCGAAGGTGGTTTTACGACGATGTTTTTGATGCATTGCGTCGATTTCTGTCAGCGACAATTATTTTGACACTTCTCGCCTGCTCTGCCTGCAGTTAATGTGAGTTACGTAAATCGGGTGTGAATTTATTTACTTTACGCATTTTTGCATACAAAATTTTAAGTGGGATTTTGTTCTCTTTTTTTTGCTTTTGTTGTTGGGAATTTGCACCCGAGTTCAAGTGTGTGTGAAATGACCGTGAATTATGTATCCACACAGAGTCAAAACAAACAGAAGGCAAGTGTGATGGAAAGAGCCGAAACAGGGCTGCATGGTCATAAAAATAAGTAAATGAACAATTTGTTGCTGATCTAACTAAAAAGTCTTTTGGTTGGATCTCCAGAAACTGATCAGAAACTGGCTATATAAACGTTATAGGATCTTTTGCAAAATAGTTTTATCCTGATTTTCAATCCTCGTTTTCAATGAAGTTGATAGTTGATATACTATTATAATATATTATTTATGTTGAATAGACTAGACCTATCTTGACTTGTTTCCACTTGTAATGAATCTAACCTCTTATTGCCTCTTGACCTTTCCTCAATTGTAGGCAGCGAAAGCATTTGCATTTGTTTTTCTAAAAAGCTTGCGTCATTTTCTCAAATATGGCTGCAATATTTCACAGTAGGCCCACAGAGCTGAACAATTTGTTTACGAGTCAAAAATGAAAAAGTGCAGGCGAGGCGGGCCAGCATAGCCGGCTGCCGTGCTGGCTGACCGTCTGCCTCCTGCGTGCCCCGGCCACATGTGGCCAATGCTGGGAAATTTATTTGAAAACACAAAAAATATTAAAATAAAAAATTATTCGTATCGAAGAAGAAGTATAAGCGCAGTTGATTGTGCAACAGGCCTGCGACAGACTTGCAACTGCAACTTTGGCTTCCACTTGGACTTGCACTTGGAGTCGGAGTTGGAGTTGGAGCTGGGCGCCAAGTTTACTTTCACTTAAGTCGCGCCGCTGGTGACCCGACAGATTAATATAAATAATTATGATTCCAGCCGGGCAGCCGAGCTGTCTGATGTGCTCATGTCATGCAATCAGCGCAGCGTCCAGGCCAGGCTGCAATGACAAATGGAAAACGGGTTGCATGCCACAGACGCAGCCGAAGAAAGCGACCAAAGTGCCGCATGATGAATGGCCCCCGTGCGTCGCCATTCAATTGCCGATTCCCGATTCCCGACTGCCGATTGTCGAAATTGCCTTTTAGTGTTTTGCCTTTGTAGTCAATATTTAATTTTGGATATTCCATTTCAAGGTCGCACATGATTCACATAACAAGATCATTGGGCAGCGGCCCTATGCTCATCTCTCTTGAGATTTGCTCGTGTTGCTTTTATTAGTTTTCCTCCTCTCGCCTTTTTTCTTTTAATGCCTGCGGGGGTGTCTATTTAAACAGTTTTTTATTGCTGCCTTCGCAGTTTTTTTGTTTTGATTTTTTTTAAGTTTCTTGCGCTTTTTTTATTTTACTACGTTTATTTATTTATTTTTTTTTTTTTTTTGTATTTGGCTAATGTCGCAAAAATTGTTGTTTTTTTTCAGTTTTGTTTTTGCTAATTAATTATTTGTCATATAATTAGAGATATATTTATGTATTTACGTTTTATATATTATGGGATATTTAACTATTGAACATTAAAAAAAAATATTGATAAAAATTATAGACCATTTGTTAAATTTATGGATTGGTATAAACAATTTTGAATGAAAGATTTTTCTTTGAGAAAAAATAATAACTAAAGATTGGACATAAGATTGTCGAATATATTAATATAAAAATTAATACCATCAGAGAGAGAAAGGGAAAGATAAAGAGAGAGGGAGGAGAGAGTGAGGAAGAAATATAGCAGATGCTAAACGTAATCTTAGAAATAACTGAATGAGAAATTACTGAATGATAAAAGACTATTTAGGTCATCTGGACAGGTTTCATATGTTAGTCTGTGGACGAAGACAAGCGAATAGCAATTGACATTCTAAAAGCATCAAAAATATACAATAAAGATCATACAATTAGAATGGAAGTTGACTAAACTGATATGCATACATGCATATATGAGGGTGATTGGCTTTGTTCTCTTTGTTCCTTAGAATGTAATTCTAACGGATGAATTTCGATTCAAAATGTAGAGCTGGCAAAAAAGAATATAGCAAAATGCGAAATAGTAAATAAACAAAAATTTGGCCAGTCAGGCAATCTATGCCGCTGATCACAGCTGGGCACCGAAAGATGATCTGAAATCTAACTTAATAGAGAGTACTTATGAAATCATATTAAATTTAATTGAACCAAACGCTGAAACATTAAATGACCTGTGCAAGTCCATTAACATTAATTTTTTTCAAATTTGTATAAATTCGTTCGCTTGTTCTGGAAGGAGTAAGAAATTGAGTTGCTTTAAGAGAAGTGAGGAATGAATATTACATGAGGAATGAATGTAACTGCAGTTATCAATCGATGTAGGAAGATAATTCAAAGGTATGGTTTACAATTCAAATAGGAAACGACTCGAGTAATACAGGAAACGGGTCCAGCTTAAAGATAAAATGTAGAAACTGCTTCTGGACTGACTCAATACAATTCAGCCATAATTTATATTGTGGAGAAGTAAAGAATTTTGTACAATGGAACTTTAAGCATCAACATAAAATTTATTATTTATTTTTTTTAGTTTTGCAAAGTTGGCCAAGAACTCGTTCAATCTAATTACAGATTTAAAAAAAATGATTTAAATCAGCCAAAAACAAATTAGGCCAACAATATAAGTGGGAAAATTTGTTTAGAAAACAAATTGCTTGGCAAGAGAGAAAAATCATTTAGCTGCTAATTAAAAAATTAAAAAAAAAAAAAAAACAAAAAACAACAAAATGAAAAGCATTTCAGTCAGTATCGATGGCTATTCAATTAGGTAGCCCTTGTTGATTGATTGCTGAGCCGGCTGTCCAGAGATCTGTTGTTGTTGTAAGTGTTTGGTATCTATCTGGTGTCTGGCTGGGCGCATTCGGGTGTGACCCACTTTTCGGCGAGCCAAGAAATTATTGAATGAATAAGTTGAAACCAATTTCTGACAGCTGAGCAACGTTTCATTCAATAACAACAACAAGAGCAAAGCATTATTGACAGGCACTCAGGACCACAAGAGTGCGTCAATGGACTCGATAGTTTTTGGTTTGTTTTTGTTTTTTTGCGGGAAAGGGGGGAGCTGTGGACCAGCTGTTTGGCATCCGACGACGATGAGTCATTGGACGCTTTGGCGATTCCCCTGCGCCTCAAACAGATTCAGCTCACCCTGCATCACCACCTTGAACTGGAGGTTGCAGCGATTGCCGGTGGTGCAGTGCTCCCAGACGTCCGTTGCCGTGTAGATCAGGTAGTCCATGTTGCTGTGGAGCAGCTCCTCGCTGTCCAGCAGCGGGGGATCCAAGAAGTTGCGCAGGCAGCGCACGCCCCTCACCTCGCGGCCCGCCGGCCCATTCAGCAGGCTGACATGGGCACTCACCCGGCGCGAGGACACCGGACTTATCATGTAGAGCACGTACATCTGCTCCAGATCGGGTGCCGGCGGGCTGATGTACATCATTAGCAACATGGGCAGATGATTCACGAGCTGCAGCTCCGGTCCGATGGGACGGCTGCAGCTCACTCTGTTGGAGCCGGTATATGCAATGACGCCCACCACGTGATTGCAGCCAGGCGCCAGCTGGGTCAGGTCCAGGTCGTACACCGTGTGCCAGTCAGCGCCAATCTCCATCATCGAGTCCTCGGGCCGATGATGCATCAGCACATGTGCCAGCATCTCCTGGGGCGTCATCTTCAGGTAGCAGCCCTTCACGGGGCATTTGGCTGGTATGCCATCAAAGAGATCCAAGTGGGCGAACGCATTCTACGACGAATCGATATGGATATGAAATGTTGATGATGCAGCAGCTGGGTCAAGTGACTTACCATAATTGGGAAACTTCTTTCAACGTGACTAGCATCAAATTAAAAAACTTGACAGTTACCACGAAGGATTCATGACGACAGTTGATGCAACCCTAAAACTTTTACTATCGATTATTGGAAGTTTCTAACCAAATATATTGTGATTTTTAGTAACTACATTAAAGTAGTGATTAAAGCTATTGATATTTAAAATAATTTGATCAAATTTATTCAAATTGTGAATCTGTGTAAAGTCCGGCATCATCTTAGAACAAATCTCAGCAATAGCTGTAGACAGATATACATATATAGGTACATATCTATTCTGGCAAGTATATGTAAATATCACAATATCTTTTCACTTCACTGCAATTTCCCTTTTGTCGCACTCATTTCCTCAGTCTACCCTATAATACAGGGTGTCTCTTTAGTGTTGTTTCAACTTTTTAACTGGCAACACTTTATGTGGGAACAGCTGATTGAGTAGCAGTTGCTTTTTGTTAAGGTTGCTTTTATATTTCATTACGGATAGACTTATTCTACGACAGTACATCAGAGCGAATCCAACTCAAATTTATTAAAGATCCGTTACATTATTAGCTTATTAGTTTTGCTATTCAATTTTGAATAACTAAATATTTTGAAACAAAACTAAATACATACATATATATGTACATATAAGTATGTATGTATATACGTAAGTATATGTATGCTTATATCAAGTGGTAATCGAAGTGGTAATTATATCTGATGAGCATTCAAAAATAAAAAAGTAAATAAAAATCAAATATATAATCAATAATTCTTCTACAAAATATATCTTTATCTTCTCATAAACGGAACTCATATATATATATGTAAATGTATATATATATATATGTAAATGAAAATACACCTATACCAAACTCCGAGCTCCGACCTTCTCAGCTTAAATTTTGTAAATTAAGTATATAGTATCAATATGTATCAAAATATTAGATCAGTGTCTAATTAGATATTTTTATAACAAATCTTAAAAAATTACCTAAGTTGATGATTAAGGATTAAAATCGTGTAGGGTAAGCTTGAACGACCGTTAAGTTTGTATCACAATCCTGCTTTTGTTATTCACATATTTACCCATATATTCATATATACAAATAGGCACTTATGTAATGTGAAAATCGTGTAATAACACTAATAAACTCTAGTGCCGTCTTGTCGCTTATGGGAATTTCACTCAAATCCAATTTGGCCGTATGATCTGTTTTTGGTCTCTGTAATCTTTTTGTGAAGAGTGATAATAATTGTGACGCTATCAGTCACCAGATACATTTGTATCTCAAGGCTAGTCATGGCGTATTTCAGCAGCTTGTGCGTTCACTTAGGGTTGCAGGCTAAAGACATTCGTTGTTGTTTTTTAATTGTTTTCGCCAAAACACGCCCCAAATGTGGGAAGATAACGAAATGGGGGAAAGACAGAAGCCGAGATAAATGTCGTTTTAATTATGAAGAGCTACAAAAGTAATAAGCAGACGACATGACTACCAAAACGTAAACAATTAACTGCACGATAACAGCCGCAGATACAAGATCCGAGATACAAGAGACAAGATATTCGACAAAAAGTCGAAAGCGTTTGCCGTTTACTGTTGGCCGCTTGGCGTTTAGCTTTAAATTTGTCGCCGCGTTTGAAATGCCAGTCGCGGCGATCGGCTGTCCAACAACTTGCCAGCGAATTGACAGACATATAAATTGCTCCACAGCCAGGCGGGCAGCTAGCCGTGTATCTGGTATCTTGCAGATACAGCAGCCGTCGCCGACGCCGCGTGCCAGCCGAACGTTTGTCATGCACTCGGTTTTCCTTTTGCAGAGTTACAACAACGCGGCCTCCACCACACACAAATGTATCTGCAACAAGTTGCTAACGCCAACATCGACAGCGACGGCGAAGGCGACGTCGGCAGCGGCAGCGACAACGACAGCGCTGCTGCGGTCGGCATCGAAGTTGCGAGTCGAACGAACTCGGCTTCAAAGTGCTTCGAGACTTTGCTCTGTGCAGTCGCGCGGTGCGCCTCTAGTTACAGATACTTCCGATCGCAACTCGTAGATACTTTTGCGCCGCGCTGATCGTCGCTGAAGAGCATTGAATGGTGTGCGTGTGTGCTTACGCGTGTGTGTCTCAAGTATTTAGTGCTAATTGACAACAACTGCTGTAAGCTCTCTCTAACTGTTGTTCTATGTATCTCACGGCTGCTCAATCAAACAACCGAACGAACTCCCAAATATAATATTGCTCGAGTGGAGCGCACATATCTCTCAGATACGAAACAGCTGCCCGGCATACTTTATGTTGATAAAGATGCTCATAATGAAGCTGCTGCTGCTGCTGTTGTTGTTGTTGTTGTAGTTGCTGTTGTTATTGTTGTTCTGATTGTGAGTCATCAGAAGCCTAGGTCCCAGCCACTCAATCGGTCGATCGACCGTGTGTCTGAGTCAGTTCCTGCCCTTTGCTTGGGTCTCTCTCTGACTTATTGCCTCGCCTCGGCGCCTTTGTTTGCCTAAGTCAAAAGTTGCACAAAATAAAATTAATAACACTGTGTTACATATATTTCACTATATCCGACAGCTTATCTGTCAGAAAATGAGCCAGCAGCATGAACAGAAGTCGTAAATATATCTATACCAAACTTCGATCACCGAGCTTCGATCTTCTATCAAATTCTTTTTGATATCGAGTTTACCATCGAAGTTTGATTCATTCAGTGTTTACCAAATTCCGATCTCCGATTTTCGATCTCCAATCTCCGATCTTCTCTACTAAAATTCCTTTTGATATTAAAAAAAGTTGAAAAAGTTATAATCAAAATCGTTTATTTGATTCATATCTCAGTTTCATTTATTCAGAACATACATATGCCAATCTCCGATCTTCGATCTCAGATCTTCTTTACTCATATTCCTTTTGACATAAAATACGTTTATAAAGTTGTAAACAAAATCGTTTGTTTGACATCGCAATTTGATTCATTCGAGAGCTATGCAAAGTGCCTGATTACGATATATCAATAATCGCAATAATAATAATAATAAGATAACATAATAATAGACATATAAATTACAAATTCAACAAGACAATGGCCACCTCCACGCTGAGTGCGACATCGAATGCGTCGAGTCCGGCTGCGATCAAGAATCCGCAACTGAAACGCGTCGTCTACTCCAAGTATCGGGAGCTGTTGGGCTCGTATAACGATAAGGCCAATGCCATAATCGAGACGCTGCCCGCCTATATGGTGCGCGAGGATCGTGGATTTCAGCTGGAGCTGCCGCTGGCCCCGCTGCAGCAGAATGACCAAGACAAAGGCTGCCTGGTGGATACGTAAGTAGGCTACACTGGGGACTGCACTGAATCCACAGCGATTTATGACAGCAAAGCGCGATAAGAATTTCTCTTCTCTGGTGCGCAAAAAAAAAAAAAAATAATAATAATAAAACAAAACGAAGCTGACAACAATTTCTATGTAAATATTTTGTGAGTTGCCGAGGCGAGATTAGCTGCCCCTGGAATGTGCAACTCACCCGAGGCACCCTGTAGTGCTCTAACTCTATTTATAGACCCAGTCGCTGGCTGGCAGGCGGACAATGACTATCATTATGTCATGTTGCATGTGGCAGCTTTCAAGTTGTGTCTGTCTATGTCTCTCTCTCGCTCTATCTGCCTCTCTCTATCCTTCTCTCTGTGTGTTGCCCTTGATCTTGAAATATGCACAGAACTGGCCACTGCCACTGCCTGGAGCTGATCTCACAGATCCAGTTTTTGTTTCAATTTCAATTTTTATACTCATTCACGAAGTGAATTAGTATATTGGTTTTGTGCAATG